TTCTTTGGTTATAATCTTAGCCGCTTACTTCGAAGGCATGGCCTCAGCTCTGTGGAGGAGTTCTCTTTGTAACTGGCGTTTCAGATGTTAAGCATCTGCTGCTGGGGGGCAGAGGAAGGCACTTTGGCTCTGAATCAGCCGGGCCTGTGTTCAAGAGTCTTGGCTGTCACTAACTGTGCAGTCCTGGGCCACTCACTCAAGTTCCCAAGACCTCCATCTGCCCAGGGACAGGGTGGGGATGATGGTGACACTAGGAAGGGAGGTTCTGGGGTTACAGTGATGGAGGTAAGGACGTGTCTCCGGGCAGGTCACGTCTGTGCCAGGCATTTGGGGAGGAGGACCAAAGGGGCAGGGTGTGTGCTCTTGCTCACTCGCTCGTGCTCCCTCTCACCATTCTACCCAGGAGGTCTCTGGGTCACTCTTCTTCTCTCTCAATTGCTGTTGCATATATAAATCTGAAACCAGGATTTTAATATACTTTTTTTTCTTTCTTTTTTTTAGGCCATTTAAAGGACCTTGAGATTTTACCTTTTTTTTTCTTTTAAACATTTTTTTATGCCTTTAAATTTCCTTTTTTTTTGCTTTTCCTAAATTACATAAGACTGTAGTCTCAAGGATTTTAATATGCTTAATTTTATTCTTCATTTCTTTATTCTAGTAGTTTATATTAATCTTTATTTTCTTGTATGACATGTTGCACAGGAATGCTTTTTCTGTGAGTGATGGACCAATATAAAAAATTACCGTGTGACTAAATGTATCTTATTTTTTTATGGTAAATATTTTCCACTGTAAAAGTAGCTCATGCAGAAAAAACTGAGTTCATGTGCAATTTTGAGAAAACAATGGAAAATTAGTGAAAAAATGAAATCTCTCATTCCCACTACTCTTAACATTTTGATGAGTTATTTCCTAGTTAACTTTAGTGCATTTTAATGTAATTATTTGCAAACAGCTGCTTTTTAAATTAAGAAGAGGTCAAATTAAGCAGTAAATCCAGGGCAAGTGACTGCAATGGGGAGGAAACAGACGAAGACAAGTGGACTCAGTGACAGATGTAGACGACGGGGCCAGACTTCTGGTTTAGTCTTTTTTTTTTTTTTTCGAGACAGAGTCTCACTCTGTTGCCCAGGCTAGAGTGAGTGCCGTGGCATCAGCCTAGCTCACAACAACCCCAAACTCCTGGGCTCAAGGATCTTCCTGCCTCCGCCCTCCCGAGTAGCTGGGACTACAGCATGCACCACCATGCCGGCAATTTTTTCATATATACATCTGGCCAATTAATTTCTTTCTTTTATAGTAGAGACGGGTCTCGCTCTATGCCAGACTGTTCGCACTCCTACCCTTCCGAGCCCCTTCGCCTCCGCTCCCCAAGAGCTGGGACTTAAGGAATCCCCAGCCAGTGCGCCACTAAATTTCTTCATCCCATCCATCCTTCGCTCACATGAACCACTTCCTACTCTTTCATGCTTCTTCCGTCCCGAGCGCCACTCTCAGCTGCCTCTCGCTCTGACCCTCGACACTCTCCTCATGGCCTCAAAACTCGCCACGGACCACAGAGCCCGACCTCGCGCTGGGTTTAGTCTTCTTGAAATTCACAACGTTTAGCATCGAGAACCCCAAGACCAATCACTCTCAGCTACATTACTGATCTCTTGGATCTTCTTAAACCAACTCTGCTCTTCACCCTAATCACTTTCCGTATTTCACTCCATATCACCTCTTTTTTCTTATCTCTTCCTCTGCTTTGGGGGGGAAAAGTGATGTCATTAATAGACGACATCGCATCTCGACCAGCCCATCTAAGCCACCCACGCCCTGTATCGCCTCAACACCACATCTACACATCGTTTTTCTCCTCACTACCCGTGCGTGGCGACGCCTCTACCGCGCCTTCTGCCCTTCTCTCTACTGCTTTGCTTTTCACCATTCGCTATATGTTTTTTGTTTGCTACAAACCCTGAAAAAAAAGCAGCCAGAAGGGCCTTTCTCTTTAACACTGCTTAGGCTTGTGGTTTCTACCCGTGTAAAGGGAAGAAAATAGGAATAATTTTTGACAGCTTCTGCCGCGCGTATGAGAAAAGTGTATATAAAACACAGTAATGCAGAAAGAAGCAGTTTGTATACGACGATTGGATTCATGCGATTGCATACTGTTCCATTTAACTTATTCTAAATACCTCCCTTTTAATCTACCAAATTCGCAAAAATTCAAAATGAGCGCCACCAATCCATTTATCACTATTTGCTTAGCCATCTGTACAGAGCATTTCATGTGCGGCTGAGTTTCACACTGCTAATCCAGTGATGAAAGTAGCTAATACGAGAATTTTTTAATTGGGGCTTTTAAATTTTTTTTTTTTTTTTTTTCTTTGAGACAGAGTCTCATTTGTTGCCAGGCTAATGTGAGCGATGCAATGGCTCAGCCTACGCTCACAGAACCTCAAACTCCTGGCTCCACAATCCTCCTGCTCAGACTCCCAGTAGCTGGCTACAGCATGTGCCACCATGCCGCTATTTTTTCGTATATATTATCAGATGGCCAATTAATTTATTTCTATTTATAGTAGAGAACAGGGTCTCACACATGCTCAGGCTAGTTTCGACTCTTACCTCGGCGACTCCACCCGTCTAGGCTCCAGAGTGCTAGGTATACAGGTGTCGAGCACTGCGCGCCAGCCTTAAGGCATGCACCACCAATGCCTGGCTAATTTTTCTGTATTTTTTAGTTTTTGGCTATTTCTTCTATTTATAGTCGAGACACAGCGTCTCCTCCTTCTTGCTCAGGGCTGTTTGCACTCTGAGGCTCAAGCACATCGCCCGCCTCGGCCTCCCCAGAAGTCTAGGATTCAGGTCGTGAACCACTCGCCCGCTTAAATTTTTTTTTGAATGATGATCCTAAAGAAAAAGTCCCTCTGAAGCACTTTGGAGAATTTTTTTTTTTTTTTTTTTTTTGAGGCAGAGTCTCACTCTGTTGCCCAGCTAGAGTGAGTGCCATGCGTCAGCCTACTCATAGCAACCTCCAACTGCTGGCTTAAGCAATCTCCTGCCTCAGCCTCCCGAGTAGCTGGGACTACAGGCATGTGCCACCATGTCCAGCTAATTTTTTCTATATTTTTAATTGGCCAATTAATTTTTTTCTGTTTTTAGTAGAGACGGGGTCTTGCTCTTTCTCAGGCTGGTTTTGAACTCCTGACCTTGAGCGATCTTCCCCTCGCTCCGGCCACAGAGTGCTAGGATTCCAGAGAATCTAAAGAAAACAAAAAGAAAATTAAAATTTTTTAATTTTTTAAAAAAGAAAAAGTCCATATAAGCATATTCCAGATCCTCTGGGGGACACGCACTGCCTTGAGGCCGTGCTGGCATTGTGCTGAGATCCAGCCGGGTGAGGCCCTCATGGAACAGGGACGCCCAGCCGTGCTTCGCTGGGCCTGTTCCCGCCTGCGTGAAAGCCTGAAATCAAGATTTAGAGATAGCCAGCCGTGGTTTATCACGCACTTCCTGCCGTGGGCTGACTTGTGTCCCCTCTGAATTCCTGTGTTGTAGTCCTAACCCCCAGCACCTCAGAATGACTGTATTTGGAGATAGGGTCTTTAAAGGCGTGATTAAGGTAAAACAAGGCCCTGGGGTGGGCTCTAATATAACCGGTGTCTTTACAAGAGGACACCAGAGTGCAGTGGCCTCATCTGTATTCCTGGCGCTCCGGCAGGCAGAGGCAGAGGATCGCAAGGGTCACTTGAGGCCAGGAGTTCAAGAGCAGCCTGAGCAACACCGTGAGATTCCGTCTTTACAAAAAAGACAAAAAGAAAAATAACAAGAACATCACTTTAGAGTTTCAAAGGATTTTAGGAGTTGTATGCCAGGACACAGGGTTGAAGACCGAATCTATATTTCACAAAATCACACAGCACAGTTTACAGATTTCGGGACTTGCTGCTTATTCAAATTTAATGAGATTTTATTTTAGTTTCTTGGCATTTCTCTTTGGAGAATTAGTCAATAAAGAGCTCAGGTCTGGGCCGGGCGCGGTGGCTCACGCCTGCCTGTAATCCTAGCACTCTGAGAGGCTGAGGCAGGCGGATTGCTCAAGGTCAGGAGTTCGAGACCAGCCTGAGCAAGAGCATGACCCTGTCTCTACCAAAAATAGAAAAAATTAGATGGGCATGGTGGTGCATGCCTGGAGACCCAGCTACTTTGGGAGGCTGAGGCAGGAGGATCCCTTGAGCCCAGGAGTTTGAGGCTGCTGTGAGCTAGGCTGACGCCACGGCACTCACTCTAGCCTGGGCAACAAAGCGAGAATCTGTCTCAAAAAAAAAAAAAAAAAAAGCTCAGGTCTGTTCTTTACTTTGGGATCTGAACACAGGAGATGAGCCATGACATCATCACCCTGGGGCCATTTTGAGTGGCTCAGTGTGGCCAGGCAGCAGGGCTGCCACGGGCGCCCCGCCAGGCCAGCCAGGTCCGCGCCTTGCGGGACCACGGCTTCGCGTAGGGGTTTGCGTGCTGGGCGGGCAAGAAGCATCACCTTTGGAGGCCGAGACCGGGGAGGCTGCAGGGTCTGGGGACCCGCCAGGGCCACGTTGGTTCATCCCAGGGTCCAGCCCCCAGGCGGGAGCCGCAGGGGCGGGCTGCCAGCAAAGTGACGTGCGCCAGGGCCAATCAGCGCGCGGGGCACCCCCAGGTCGCCCTGCGGGGCGGGGGCGGGCAGAGCCGGGAACCCGTCGACCTCTGGAGCCAGGTGCACTGGGAAAGGTCAAAGGGAACAATGAGAACCTCATATCACGTTGGGGAGACCTGCCCAGGCTGCAGTCTGTGTCTGGGCTAATACTATAGACGGGGAAGGACCCTCACCATCCCCCCACCACCACTCGCTCCCCAAAGACAGAATGGCCACCCCCACCCTGATGCCCTGCAACCCCCGGACCCTGCTCTGCAGGCCAGCCAGGGCCCTGCGCTGACTCCACGTAACCAACCCACCCTCTCTTCTCCTCCAGGTCAGAAGTCAAGGGGGATTCTCTGACACCTCCACATCCCGGTCCCCGCCCAGCTAGGGCAGTGCCAGCGCCAGCGTGGACACAGGTCGGTTTGAGAACCAGCCAGTGGGGTAGCTGCGAGCCTCGGGATTGGGAGGGGCTGGGCCAGGCTTCAGTGCTGTGGTCCGCAAAGTACAGACAGGTGCCTGGGCCACTCTCCCTGTGACCACAGGGCAAAGGGTAGCAGGCATTCTGGGAGGGCCAACTAGCTGAGTTCATGTCCCCCAAGTGCCTGTCTCTGACACTTGGCACTCAGGGGCACCAGTTTCTATGAATACGGATGAGGAACACCAGATACTGTGTGGGGACTAGCTCTGGATCCACCCCTAGCTCTGCCACTTCCTGGCTGAGTTGGTCACCCTGGCATGCCTCAGTGCCCCATCTGTAAACTGGGCCAGTAGGAACAGCCAGCTTTCATGACGTGGGGCTGAAGGTCACGGGAAAGTGAGTGGAAACGCTTCCCCTGTGCTCGGCACGAGAGGCCCGTGGGCCGTCACCCATCGCATCAGCACCCGTCAGCCCACAGCCCCTCGGGAGAGGCGTCTATCGAAGTGAGGCTTGGACAGGGAGGGGACCCCGCAGAGAAGCAGCAGCCCAGGGTCCCCAGCTCCAGCAGGTCCCTCCCAGCCTCTCAGCCCCAGGGACACCCAGGCAGCCCATCTGCCCCACCTCCTTCCCAGCCCGTTGCTAGAGCCCCAGGCCCAGGGCTTCCTCCACTGACTGGGATTTTGCCTCCTTAGGACGGAGCCCCTGGACTCCCAGGTTCCTTGCCAGGGAGGAGGAGAGATCCATCTGCGAGGGCTGAGTGTGGCCTGAGGGGACAGGCCATCGGTCCTGGAATGCCCCTGCCTGAGGCCAGCGAGCAGGAGGGCGAGAGCGTGAAGGCCGGCCAGGAGCCATCCGTGAAGGCCGGCCAGGAGCCATCTGCTGATCCAGGCACCGATGTTGTCCCCGCAGCCCCCAGGAAGCCCAGGAAGTTCTCCAAGCTGGTCCTGCTGACGGCCTCCAAGGACAGCGCCAAAGTGGCAGGTGCCAAGCGCAAGGGCGTGCACTGCATCATGTCCCTCGGGGTGCCTGGCCCCGCCACCCTTGCCAAGGCCCTCCTCAAGACCCACCCTGAGGCCCAGCGGGCCATCGAGGCGGCCCCCCAGGAGCCGGAGCAGAAACGCAGCAAGCTGGAGGCGGGTGAGGCTCCCGCCCAGGGTGCCCCCAGAGCGGTCTGCTCCAGTCCCGCTTCTGCCTGTCCTTGGTCCTCATTGGCCTGCGTCCTTTCACCAGGTGTGGGAATCGGGGGCACGGGCTGCAGGCACAGGCCTGGGCGCCCCTCTCCGTGGGCTTCCTGGTCCTGAGACTCCCAGATGACCTCGCCTCTGCGCCCGTCCCCTCCTCTGAAGCGTGCTGCCCACAGCCTGGCTGGCTCCACCACAGGAGTGTCTGAGGGCTGGGGCACTGCGTCTCCAGGTGGCTGCTGCCAGAGGTCCAAGCCTTTGGCCCCAGCTGCGAGATGATCTCTAAAAGCCAGGCTCTATGGTTGCCTTTCCACACGTTCTAGAAAGCACCTTCACCTCACTCAGGCAGTCACTCAGTCACTGCATCCACGTGAGCAGCAGCCTGTGCAGGCCGGGCACTGTCCCGCAAGTGGGTGAGCAGGACAAAAGCCCTGACATACAAGCCTCCTCTCCCAGCACAGTGCGAAGGTCGTGATCTTGACCTGGCCTCTCCAGGACTGCCCTGCCCTGCCTGCCTCTCCTGCCCAAGCCTCCCCCTCCATGGAGCCCCCAGGGACTGACAGCTCAGGGCTCTCAGGCCACCCCGGGGGAGGGTGGCAGGGAGTGCCGCAGGCTGGCTGGAGGTGACCAGACCTGGCCCTATGCTCTGATTTGGGGGGATGGAGTCAGCCATCCTGGGCTCTGCCCCTGCTGTTGTGCTAGACCTTCCCCTGAGCCAGACTTGGGGGGACGCAGCAGGTGGAGGGGTGACAGAGAGTAGAATGAGGGCCAGGGCTGCCCCTTTCTCTGTGCCCAGCTCTTCCTGGGTGGCCTAGGCCCTGCCATGCTGTCCCCTGCAGAGGACAGGTCCCCTGAGACTCCCAACAGCAGATTGTCAGGATTCCTGAGTCCTGCCTCGGGGCTCTTCGGGAGCAGTGGGCAACGGGGACTTGTGGTGACCCTGGAGCGGGGCAGGAGGATGGGCACAGGGGACAGGCTATGGGGAGGGCGGGCTGGCAGGAGGGAGCCCGTGAGGTGCCACCTCCCTGAGCTGGGCAGCTGGGCGGAGAGACGCGCTGGGCCGACCTGAGAGCGCTGTGCTGTGGCCACTTCTGCGTACACTGTGTGGGGGTCTCTGTCTACGCGAGGTCTCGGTGTCGGTCTCTGTGTGTTTGTGGTCCTTGCACGTGTGTGTTTGCCTGGGAAGGTGCGTTTTCTGTGCATCCTGGTGTGTGCGTGTGGGTCTGTGTGTGTGCTCAAGTTTGTGTGCTCACGTGTCAAGCAGAGGCGTGTGTCTGATCCGTGTCAGAGGCGAGGTGAGGCCTCACACAGACCTCCCACCCCCAGCAGCCTCGGCATGAGTGACATGGAACTGGGACTCGCCTTGGGTGGGCAATTCTGGGGGGTGCCCTATGGGCGGGAGGGGATGGGCTGTATTTCTCCCCAAATGGGACTGCCATTCCCTGGGAAGAGGGGGATGACAGCCATGGCAGTTGCTACCTACCTCTGAGCAGGTGGCCTCTCAGGTCAGCCTGGCAGCCGGTCACAAGGAAGGGGGGCTCTTGGGTTTCCATCAATGAGCTGGCGGGGATCCTGCCTCAAGGATGGCAATTGAGGGGTGAGTGGCCTGAGGTCATAGGGGGTCAGAGCCCTGCATCATGCCCCTAGGCTGAGGCCCAGGGCCACCTGAGCTAGGGGTGTCCCTGGACACAGGCTTGGAACCTTCACGGCACCTGCAGGACCCCTCAGCCTCCATCCCTGTGCTGGGGTCCCTGGCCTGGTGGGGGCCATGTTGGGGACTTAGAGGGACTCCAGCTCCCAGAGCCTGGAACCCCCTCTGCAGCGTGGCCGGCTGTCACTGTGAGCACTCTCACGGCCAGTCCTGCTCTGAGTGCCCCTGAGTGCCCCCCGGTTCTCTCCCCAACAGCCCAGGGGTAGAGGGTGCTGTCCCCATGGCCTGTGGGAGGCAGGGCTCAGAGGACCTGAGGCCACCAGCTGGTCATGGCACACGGCGGAGCCCTGGCCTGTTCTTCCCCTGAGCTCAGTGGGACAGGGCCATCTTGGGGGAGTGACCTTTCTAGCCCACCTGAGACTTCTGCTCACTGCTAGAATCTGTCCAGACTCTGGGGCCATGGCGCCTCTGTGAGAGTTGGAACAAAGCCACCCAGCTCAGACAAAATGCAGGCCAAGGCCCTGTCTCAGCCCCACGGGCTTCCCTGGCAGGGGCTCTTGGACTGTTTATCCCCCTCGACCTGCCACCCTCTATCCCTCCGTCCACAAACGTCCCCACCCCAGGCCAGACTGTGGGCATAGCAGCAGCTTCCTAGTGCTCAGCCCAGATTTGGCCTAAAGTTTTCTGGGAAGGATTTTAACAGCCTTTGTGGCCCTGGGCAGGTGGCCTTTGGGAGCAATGTCCCTGAGTGGCAATTGCTTGTCTAAGTCAGCAGAGGCTCCTGGCCCTGGAACATGCCCAGGCTGAGGTGAGGGGGCCAGCAGCCCGGGCTCCAGGACCGGGCCCTCCCCTTCCTGCGCTGCCAGCCTGACCCGCCCCCTTCTCTTCCAGACGCTGATGGAAAGGAAGCCGGCAGGTTAGCAGGGGGGCCTCCTTCTGAGCGAGGGGAGGAGGCCGCTACCCTCCCTGAGGCGCCCAGCATGCCCCCAGAACCTTGACAACATGGGCATCACCCTCGCTGGTCAGCCACCTGGGCCACCGGCTCTGCTCTGACCACAGGGCTCTGGGGCCCAGTCCTCGACAGACGTCCACTTTCAACATCATGTAATTTGTTGTTTTGTTTTGTTTTTTGATCAAGTGTAAATTACTTTTGTAAGCAGGAAAGAAATTCAAAACAGAATAAAAGAAGCTGTATGTTAGATGCTGTCGTGGGCAGGTTTTAAACATTCCAAGATTCTGGGTCCTTTGAGGCCTGGCTCTAACCCCGCCATCCCTGGGACTCCAGCCCCAGCCCTCTCCTGGCCTGGGCCATCTCTCAGACCAGGGCCCCTCACCCTGGGGCACCAGCTACTGGCCTGGACACTAGGTGGGGCCCCTGAGGCCTCCCTGTCCTGCCTCCCTTCCACTGAAATGGAGCAGTGGGACACCCCCCCCAGCCTGTCCCCAGGAGGCCTCAGGCCCCCTCCTGCTGGGCCCTCCCAGGATGCCCCTGGTCGTTGCCTCCCTGGCCCATGCCCCACCTCCTCCAGGAAGCCTCCCAGACTGATGGTTCCCAGGCACTGAGTGCCCCCACACCCCTGCTGAGAATGGTGGCTCTGGAAATCTGCTGAGGAAGGGGTGAAAGGGGTGGGCCTGGGTACAAGAAGATCCTGACAAAAGTGCAGGGCCACGGTGGTTTTGGGGCCGAAGAAACCTGAGCCCCTCGCCCAGCTGGGTGCCGTGCCCTGGAGGAAGAGAGCAGGGAATACAAGCTGCCTTCCGTGAGTTCCCAAGGCGGGGCTCCTGGGGCCAAAACTTCCCCACCCGGTCCTGTGCTTTGAAATCTGCCTCCAGGCTCAAGTAAAGGTCATGTTTTAAAGGTAGGGCCTGTATTTTTTTGCTTGTTTTTATAGAGATGGGGTCTTGCTATGTTCCCCAGGCTGCGTATTTTTTTAAATAACTTTTTTTTTTTTCTAATTTACTCAGCATCTATCCACTCCCTCATAGGCAAAATATTACTCGGCACATTTTTCTCCCCTGAGCCTCCATTTTGCTGTATCATTTTTACAGCATCATTGTTTATAACATTTATGTTCTATAACCATAATTTGTAAAGTTCTTTTGTCCTGATTCTATATTTAAATAGAGTCTCAGTCCCCACTGCAGCTTCTCCTTCCCTGAGCGCTTGTCAGGTGATGCATGAGGCAACTGAGGAAGAGCTGGGGTGGAGCGTTGGCAGTCTTTCTCTCTCTCTCTCTCTTATTTTTTGAGACAGTCTTGCTTTGTTGCCCGGGCTAGAGTGCCGTGGCGTCAGCCTAGCTCACAGCAACCTCAAACTCCTGGGCTCAAGCGATCTTCTTGCCTCAGCCTCCAGAGTAGCTGGGACCACAGGCATGCGCCACCATGCCCGGCTAATTTTTTCTCTATATATTAGTTGGCAAATTAATTTCTTTCTATTTATAGTAGAGACTGGTTACACTGTTGTGCAACCAGTTTTCCAGCTTGCCCTTTGCCTGGATGATTCCTGCGAAGAGGGTGGTTCCCACGAGTGTTCACGGAGCAGGAATCCCTCGCGGCCGCAGAGCACAGGGCCGGCGGGCACCCAGCGAAACCCCTGCGAGGAGCTCTGGGACTCTGCGGTCTGTGTGGGTGGGCGAGTGGGGGGGCATTAACTACGACAGGGATAAAAAAGTATTTAAAAATAGGGTGCCTGTACATTTCTGTAAAAATAACTTTTATTGCTCTTTCCTTTTTTTATTTTTTATTTCCGCATAGTACGGGGGTACAAATGTTTAGGCTATCCATGTTGCCTTTGCCCCACCCGAGTCAGAGCTTCAAGCGTGCACATCCCCAGACGGTGCGCACCGCACCCATCAGGTGTGATTATGCCCCCCCCATTGCTCTTTCCTTTAAGCTAAAAAAAAAAAGAGGTAATTCATGGTCATTGAAAAAATAGAAAATACTGATGATTGCTAACCATAAGTCTATGATACGTATTTCTGGTTTTCAGAAAATCGGCATGGTACCACGCGCTTTTTCTCGGTGTCTCACCGACGTCTTCCCTCGAGTCAGCGCTCTGCAATGTCCCTGCTGACTGCGCGATGTGCCAACTGCCAGGCGCGGCGCGGTCGCTCCTGGGCTGCGAACAACCCTCTCCTTTCCGTAGCCTCGTATTCTCCCAGGAGAGAGACTGCGGTCAGCGCACCCCGGCGGCTCCGTCTACACCCAGCATCAGCGTTAGCAGAAAGCAGCCACACCGCCCGCTAGGCGTCGGCCCCGCGCGCGCGGCCCGGAGGTGGCAGACGCCGCGGCGCTGCTCCTGGCGGCCGCGAGGGGGCGCGCGCGGGCTCCGCCACCGGCGCCTCCGGCTCCCACGCTGAGGCCGCCAGGGGGCGCCGCGCCCGCCGCACGCCCACCGGCCTTTCAGCCCGCGGCGCGGCTCTAAGGAGCTTCCGCAGGGCGGGCACCTGGTGGGGAGGGCGCCTTGGTGCCGACCCCGCGGGCGGCCGGCGATGCGGGGTGGGGAGTGACCCGCACCCCGCTCTGCCACCGGCTTAAAGCCCAGGCCGAGTGGCAGCCGCTCCGCCCGCGTTACCTGCGCGCAGCAGGTGCCCGCGTCTCGCACACCTTACGGGCACAGGTGCGCTGCTCCCTGGCCTCCGCGTCCCGCCCCGCCCCCGACAGCGCAGCTCGCACCGCCAGGGACGGCCCCTCCGCCGAGTTTGGTCCCGGAGCGCCCCGGTGTGGGAACCGGACGCGGAGGACCCGGCGGGGGAGATTCCAGGGCAAGGAGCGCTGGGGAGCCGGAGGTGCGGGCGGGACTCCGGGGAGCGTAGGATTGAGAGGAGGCCGTGGGGCACCGACAACGCAGAGCACGAGGAAGGGCGCGGAGAAGGAAGGGATCCCACGGAGCGTGAGGAGGAGGAGGCCGAATTCAGGAGACCCCGGGGGACCCGGGCCTGCACCCGGAGTCCAGGGGGCGCTTCCAGCGCAGCTCGAGAGCGAGAGGGCGGGGGGAGGCCGTGGAGCGGGAGCGCGGGGTTCTCCGGCCGAGCGCGGCGTCCCCGCCCTGCCCCGCCGAGGACCCGCGGCCGGGGCTGGGGAGCGCGCGGGGCCAGGGGAGCGCAGGCGGAGGCGGCCCGCGGCCCGGGGAGTCGGGCTGAGCCGGGGCGCGTGCGGGAGCCCAGAGCGGGTTCCCGCCTGGGGCCGGTCGGGGAAGGTGGGCGTCAGCTCGGATAGCGCTGCCGCCGCCGAGAGTCCCGGGAAGGCAGCGCCCAGGGCCCCGCAGCTCCCCGCGCCCGGAGCCGTCCGGGCCCCCGCACAGGGTCGCTGGAGGATGACAAGTGTCCAGTGGCTGCGCTGTGGACGAGGCAAGGACCAACCGAGAGGGCGGGGCTAACGGGTGAGGGCGGGGCCAATGGTGAGGGCGGGGCCAATGGCGAGGGCGGGGCCAATGGTGAGGGCGGGGCCAATAGGGAAAGGACACTTTCTCCTCCCAGAATATTAAGAGATTGAATGGATTTTTTTTTTTTGGTCTGACAATTATTCCGACATAATTTCACCCCTACATAAAAGTTACAAGAATCGTACAAAGCTTCCCATATACGCTTCATTCAGATTCCCCAAATGTTAGGAATAAAGCCACCCGCAATGTTTATACTAGCAAAGTTCATAAAAGAAGTGTCTAATAGGAAGAAAACTAAATTATGTAGCCAATCATATGTCAAATGAGCTTATCATGTGGGGGTTACAATATAGAGTTAGGTTAAAAACCAGGGACACCCAAATATAATCCCAATGATGTAAAATTGGAGATTCATTTTCAAAAAGATTGACAAGAAAGATGGCAACTGGAAATTCAGGGGACCCAGAATAGGCAAAATGATCTTGAAAAAGAAGACAGAAGTTGGAAGACTCACACTCCCTGATTTCAAAACTTGCTACAAAGCCACAGTAGTCAAGACGGCGCGGTGCTGGCATCAGGACAGAGACCCACATCAGTGCAATAGAACTGAGAGTCCAGAAACGAGTCCTCATATTTATGGTCAATTGATTTTCAACAAAGATGCCAAGACAATTAATTGGGGGAAAGAATAGTCTTTTCAACAAGTGGCACTGGGACAAATGAAATATCCACATGCAAAAGAATAAAGTTGGAGACCTACTTTACACCGCATAAAAAAAATAAACTCATAATGGGTCAGAATCCTAAATGTAAGAGCTAAAGTTGAAAGCTCTTAGAAGAAGACATAGGGGTAAATTTTTGTGAACTTGGATTAGGCAGTGATTTCTTAGAGAATGATTTCTTAGATGTGACATCAAAACCACAAACAACAAAAGAAAAAAAAAAACAGATAAATTGGACATCATCCAAATAAGAACTTTTGTGGTTCAAAGAACACCATTTCAACCCACAGAAAGTAGATTAATGATTGCTTAGAGCTGGGGTGATTCGGTAATTGGACAGTGATGGCTAAAGGTTTCCTTTTGGAGTGATGTTAGGTTCTAAAACTGATTATGAGGATGTTTGAACAAATCTGTGACTATGAAAAAAATCATTGAATTGTACACTTCAAATGGGTGAGTTGTATGTTAATTATATTTCAGTAAAGCTGTTACCAAAAAAGTAACAATGGCCAGCGCAGTGGCTCACGCCTGTAATCCTAGCACTCTGGGAGGCCGAGGCGGGCAGATAGCTCGAGGTCAGGAGTTCGAAACCAGCCTGAGCAAGAGCGAGACCCTGTCTCTACTACAAATAGAAAGAAATTAATTGGCCAACTAATATATATAGAAAAAATTAGCCTGGCATGGTGGCGCATGCCTGTAGTCCCAGCTACTTGGGAGGCTGAGGCAGCAGGATTGCTTGAGCCCAGGAGTTTGAGGTTGTTTTGAGCTAGGCTGATGCCATGGCACTCACTCTAGCCTGGGCAACAAAGCGAGACTCTGTCTCAAAAAAAAAAAAAAAAGAAGTAACAATGATAAGCCATTTATTTTTTTTCTTTTTATATATTTTTTTAATCTCAGCATATTATGGGGGTACAAATGTTTAGGTTACATATATTTTCTTTGGCCCAGAACTTCAAGCATGTCCATCCCGAAGACGGTGCACACTGCACCCATTAGGTGTGAATATACCCATCCCCTTCTCCCCCCTCCCACCTGCCCGACACCTGATGAATGTTACTACTGCATGTACACATAAGTGTTGACCAGTTAATACCAATTTGATGGTGAGTACATGTGGTGCTTGTTTTTCCATTCCTGTGATACTTCACTTAGTAGAATGGGTTCCAGCTCTATCCAAGATGACACAAGGGGTGCTAGAACACCATTGTTTTCTGTGGCTGAGTAGAATTCTATGGTATACATATACCTAATAACATATACATATGTTATTAATCCACTCATGTATTGATGGGCCCTTGGGTTGTTTCCATATCTTTGGAAAAATTAATATTTTATCCTGTGTTATTAATAAGTACCTTGCCTTGCCAGGAGATATACTTTCGGGTTATGTAAGTACTTGTTCCTTTTATCTTTCTTTTTTAGAGATAGAATCTTCACTCTGTCGCCCAGGCTGGAGTACAATGGCATCATCATAGCTCACAGCACCTTCAAACTCCTGGGCTTAAAGGGATCCTCCTGCCTCAGCCTCCTGAGTAGCTGGGACTACAGGCATGCGCCACCACTGCGCCCAGCTAATTTTTGTTTTCTATGTTTTGTAGAGACGGGGGGGTCTCACTATATTGCCCACGCTGGTCTCGAACTCCAGGCCTCATGGGATCCTCCCGCCTCAGCCTCCCAAAGTGCTGCGATTGTAGGCAAGAGCCACCGCGCCCGGCCCTTTTATTAAGCTTTCATGTCCAGTTTGGGCAGCCATTTAGGATTTTTGCCTCTGCTAGGTGTTTGGTGGTTTTCTGCACCATTGTTTCTTCATTATTTTTGTTGGCTTTCTACTGCAAGGAAGAGCTTTCCCTCTCCCCGGTTCTTCTCTGCCTCAGTGTCCACTCACGCATTCTTATTGTATTCAAGGTTACGATCCCTCGTCATTATTTATTCTCAATCTCAAATCGGCCCAGCTCTGGGCAAGGGTGGTCTGAAGGCTCGGATGAAGTGCGTAAGAGATGTGCTCCCACCGACTCCGGAAGGCAACCGGGCTACGGACGCAGCTAAACATCCCGCCCGCGAGCGCGGGGCCAAACCCCCGACGGGCGCGCGCGCCCACCAGGCCCCCGCCCGCGGGTGCGCAGGGCGCCCCGCCCCTGGACACGACGCCCAATCCGGGCCGGCCCCGCCTCTTCCGCGAGTCATGGCCCCGCCCCCTCACGCCGATTGGCCGAGTCATCAGCGCGGCGCCGCGCAGGGAAGACCCGGAGGATCGGCATTCACCCAAGGAATGGGCCGCGCGGCCCTGCTGCGCATGCTCGCAAGGAGCCCGCCTGGGCGTTCCGAAAGGCTGGCTCCCCGCGGGGTCGCGCGCGCGCGCGCGGGCACGGGGCTCGCTCCCGAGGGGGCAGGTGGGGGCGGGGAGCGGGCGCTGGGGTCGTGGTGGCTGGAGCGGCCTGGGCCGCCCGGTGGACGCCTGCGGCTGCAGCGGCCGAGCCCCAGGGACGCGCCGCGGCTGTCACCGGAGGGAGGGCCCCGCTGCCGTGGGTGAGGACGGGCCCCAGCGGGGGAGGGTCCCGCGGCGTGGACGCGCCCCCGGCCCGGCTCTCCGGGAGGTCCCGAGGGCTGCTGGTGCTGGGGAGGGGGTCCCCCGGCTCTCGTCCCAGCGTTCGCGCCGCCTCCTTGCCCGTCCCCTCCTCCCCCTCGCTCCTCCTTCCCGAAGCCCACCGCTCCCTGGACACCCCCAAATCAGGGCGCCCCACATGCGTCCGCCTTTCCCGGCCGTGCCCGCCCCACCCGGTGCTGCGCCCCCGGACCAACCCCCAGTCCCAGCCCATCTCTGCAGCCCTGGAGGTCCCAGTGACCTTGCACTTTTTGCTGGTTTTACACCCCCTCCTTCCGCTTCTGATTCTATAGGTCGCCAGCTATGGCTTTCAAACTTTATACACTCGACCCACACCGAAAAATATGTTTTACGTGTATACCCTGGGGCTGTAGGGCTAGATCGCCGAGCCGCACGTTTCAAGGCAGATGCTAACCCTAAGCTCACATGACGCAGCCGGATCTATTCTAATTCAATTGTATTCCATTCGGTTCCACATCTTTCCAAAGACTGTTGCTAACCCACTGAGTCAGGACCTACTGGGTCTGATCTGGCCTGAAAACCTCAATTTCCTTTATCCCTTGCATTTGGAGGATGCAGAGATGCCGTAATCAGATAAACACATGCAAACTTCAATTCCAAAGGAAGCGTACGTTTTTATTTTGGCATTTCTGCTTTCTGGGGCCAGTGTGATTTTTCAGGACTTGATTTGTTTAGATTTTCTCGTGTGATTGGATCAGGTTTATCTTGTTCGTTTTCCAAATGCTACTAGTTGAACTGCGGAAGAGCGTGTGAGGTTGGGGCGAGATTATGGAGCGTTTATAATGGCAAGCTGATGGGATGGAGATGATTTTCATTGAGGACAGATGTGATGCAAGTTAAGCTTTAGGAAGAGAAACCCCTGGGCACCCTCTGGGGAGATTTGGAGTGGCTCCTGCTGAAGACGCAGGACGTGGCGAATGTTTGGTGTGGGCTGGAGAGGTGGTGAGGAAGGACCCAAGTCCTAAGGAGGTGGAAGGTGGGCGTGATCAGGTGTAAAGGGAATGAGACTTGAGGACAGGTTGGGCTAGGTACAGGAGGAGCACAAATGACTAAGGGGCTGATTGAGAGTGCTGGGAGGGTATGGGGCTGGGGGTCCCGTTAGCAGGGAACTCCCTTTCTGAACCCTCTGCATTTCTAAGTTGTTTTGGAGCAGTGGTTCTCGGGCAGTTTTGCCCCTCAGGCACTGTTGGCTGTTACAACTTTGGAGGGGGATGATACTGGCATCTAGCAGGTAGAGGCCAGGGATGGAGGCTGCTAAACATCCTACACTGAACAGGACAGCAAGCCACAGCAAAGGACTATCTGGTCCAAAATGCCAATGGTGCTTAGGCTGCAAAACCCCACATAGTAATTCTTAATCTTTTGGGGGACCGCTAGCTTCTCCCAGGAGTGATGCCTGTATGGATACACAGTCTGTGCATATGATCGTAGAGGGGTGCGTGAACGAGGCCAAGCCACCTCTGAACCTCGTGGCTCCTTGGTAGGGGGTGGGGACAGCCATTGGGATGATCCCAGAACAACTTTTTAAAGAGCAGGACCTGGATAAAGAACTCCTTATTCTTGTGTAATAGTTTAGTTAGTTTATGAAAAAATTGCACCCACTCTATCTCATTTGCCACTATTCCTATTTTACAGGTGAAACCAGCCCAGAGAAGTTACAGGACTTTCCCCAGACCACCTGCCCAGCAAGCCAGCACCAGAGACCCAGGTGTTAGCAGATGATGGTGGTAGTTCTGTCTTTCACGTGTGAAGGTAATTCTGTTGATGCACTGTCAGCTGCCAAGACAGGCTCCTGGCTTTCAGGACCTTACCGATTAGAGTTTGGACCCGGTGGTGTCTGAGAGGCACCCAGCAGTGCTTAATATTGTGTAGGTCTTGGGTCTACACTGAGCCCTTGGTGACCACCAGCAGGGCAGCAGTTCCAAGGCAGGGGACCTGAGTATTGCATGCAGCTCAGAGTATTGGCTGTACCCTCAGTTTTGGGAGAGAGGAAATAGGAGAAGAGACTGATGAACCGTAAACCTTGAGACTTTTGAACTTTCTACTTACATCTGCCTCCCTTTTACCCCTTTCATTTATCAAACTTTTATTGAGTGAAAATTGATTATTACGAAATAAACACATTAGGGGCCAAGTATTTACCCGAAAACAGTGGGCATCAAAAGTAAAAAATACATTTAAATCAAACTAGAATAAATTAACTAAAGTTTCATAAAATAATACTTTTATTACATGCAATGCAAATTTATATTTTCCATGTAATTTTTTTAGATTGCTGATTGGAACCTAATGATTTTAGGACCAATGGCTAGGGCAGTAAGATGTTATGACCAGTTTGCAAGAGAATACAAGGAGGGTTCTAGAAGACTGTAGATCAGGAATATTCAAATGAATGTGCAAATGGAGGCAAAACTGGCTTCTTCCACAGTGGGAGGATTTATATACAAGTCTGTATTTACACAGAAAAGAGAGCATTTATTTACTTGTCTATAAATTAGGATTATATTGCATTTTTCTCAGTTATCTATAATTTTCTCAGTTATCTGTCATTTATCTAAAATAGCTCAAAGACAGTGAAAGGCTTAAAACCAGAGAACCAAGAAGGATGTGTTCTAAACAATGCATAGTTTTCCATTGAAGCACAAATTTCCATTCAGTCTCATAATCTATGAAAGATATTTTTTATCCTAAAATGAGGCTGCTCTCATTAGATTAAGCCTGATTATATAGGTGCAGCTATAGCATTAATTTACTATATAGGCCTATCTGAATTTGCTTTCCTGAAGTCTTCATAAGGAATTTTAAGTTAGGCTTTTTAAAGTCTGTTATTCGATATCTAGAGGCATAGAAACCAAGCCACGCCCAAGCTGCTTTCTCCGCTGGATTTCAGGTGTAGTACTTAGAAATTTAGGCAAATTCCTCTCTTCTAGAGGTCTGAATCTAACCCAGGTCTGCATCCTGGGTCTAACTTCCCAGGACTCCTGAAACTTGTTAAATTGTTCGAAAATAATTTCAAAAAAGGTGAAATCATGACTCTCCCACTGTTATGAAATAAACAGATATTAATGATTCTATTTAACACATTAATGAGGAAACCCGTACGATGTTACAGATGAAATGAGATGATGTATGTAAAACACTCATGTGGGGCCTGGCACAAAGAAAACCTCAGATTGTTCTTAGGCTGGTCACATAGCTGCAGGCCCCTCTTTCTCAATAGCATCTACTCTAGTGTTTCTCAAAGTTCAGTCCATAGTTTGGTGTCCAAGCCTCATGGGTGTTCGTTAAAGTTCTAGATTCTTGGCTGGGCGCGGTGTCTCACGCCTGTAATCCTAGCACTCTGGGAGGCCTAGGCAGGCAGATTGCTCGAGGTCAGGAGTTCAAAACCAGCCTGAGCAAGAGCGAACCCTATCTCAATACTATAAGATAGGAAAGAAATTAATTGGCCAACACTATACAGCACACACATAAAAATATAAAATTAGCCTGGCATTGGTGGCACACTGCTGTAGTCCCAGGTTACTCGGGACGCCTGAAACGCAGGATCCGCTTGAGCCCACAGGACGAGTTGAGGTTGCTGTGAGCTAGGCTAAATTGCCAGGCACTCAACCAGCCTGGGCAACAAGCGCTTTTTTTTTTTGGTCCTCCAACACAAAAAACAAAAAAATACATCTAATTCTTGAATCTCTTTCTACTACCCTCGAGCCCAGAATTTTGATCGTGCACAATTCCAGCCGAATCCTGCATTTTATCAACATGCCCGGAAATCTATAAGAACCTCCGAATAACACCAACAAATCACCATTACACGTGTACACCTTAGTGTATCATGCTTTTGTATTTGGATTTTGGCTTTTCAAATGCAGTACCATAGCAGCGGTTTCCCAGCCCTGCGTGCTGTTGACATTCACACCAGATCCTCCTTTGGTGGTGGGGTGCGGAGACTGTCCCTGTCCCTGGCGGGAGCTGTCAGCACACCCTCTGGTCTCCCGCCTGCTGGACTCTACAAGCGTGCTCTACAGCTCCACCCTCCATAGGACAACAACGACGGCTCTCCAGACATTGCCCGCGAATGTTGCCTGAGAGCCAAACCTCCCCCGTTGACCGAACCCCCAGTCTTACCCAGCGGCTACAAGAGCCCAAACCACCTCAATCTGAAAAACTGTTTTAACTGGTTTCTAAGCGCGACTTACGGCCTCAAGCGCCGGGCACAGCGCGTTCTTGAATGCCGTGACACTGATCTTTTTTTTTTTTTTTTTTTTTTGTGAGACAGAGTCTCACTTTGTTGCCCAGGCTAGAGTGAGTGCGTGGCTCAGCCTGGCTCACAGCAACCTCAATCTCCGGGGCTCAGCGATCCTACTGCCTCAGCCTCCCGAGTACGTTGGGACTACAGGCATGCCCAACCATGCCGGCTAATTTTTGTATATATAATTTTTGGTTGGTCAATAATTATATATTTTTGTAGAGAGACGGGTCTCGCTCAGGCTGGTTTCGAACTCCTGACCTGAGCAATCCGCCCGCCTCAGCCTCCCCAAAGTGCTAGGATTCACAGGCGTGAGCCACCACGCCCGGCTGGTGACTCTGTCTTTATTGGCCTGGCCCTCAGTTCCCAGAAATCTAAGACTAAGCCTTAATTTCCTCCTCTGTAATATGAATGAAGAGGTGGACTAACTGAGGTTATTTGGAAGATAAAGGGACATGCGTGCCAAGTGTTCAGCCAGTGCCACCACTTCATTGGCATTTAGTGACGTAAATGTTGCAATCAGTCCTTTAGATCCTTTTTTTTTTTTTTTTTTTGAGACAGAGTCTTGCTTTGTTGCCCAGGCTACAGTGAGTGCCGGTGCGTCAGCCTAGCTCACAGCAACCTCAACTCCTTGCTCAAGCAATCCTCGCCTCAGCCCTCCCAGTAGCCTGGGACTACAGGCATGCGCCACCATGCCCGGCTGATGTTTTGTATATATATTTTGGTTGGTCAATTAATCTTTCCTATTTTAGTAGAGACGGGTCTCGCTCTTCTCCAGTCTGGTTTCGAACTCCTGACCTCGAGCAATCTGCCCGCCTCGGCCTCCCAGAGTGCTAAGATTACAGGCGTGAGCCACCATGCCGGGCCTAGTCCTTTAGATTCTTGAAGGATGGATTGGTGAGAGTCCAACTGAGGAAACCGAAGTTTCTGTAAGAGTCCAGCCGAGAAGTTAATTGCTCTCCCTAGTGGTGGAAGAGCTGAGAGGCCAGACAGGAAATGGTGAGGTACCCAGAGCTCAGTGGTGGCTAGTAGTTGTCACCACAGCCAGGCCAAAGGGCAGTGGGCGGCAGGCGGGATGACCCTGCAGGGCTGGAGTCCGGCTGGGACAGCGCTGGTGGGGCCCACCCAGCCGGCATCTGCGGGAACCTGCTGGCTGTCACCTCTGGTCTCCTGTGGTGCCTCCCCTTGGCGGTTCTGGAGGCTGCCGATGCAAAACTGCAGTCAGTGACGAAGTAGCTGTTGTGGGGACGCACACATCAGTGCAGCCGCTTGCTTCTCGCGTGGCCTCTGGGCTGGCAGCAGCTCTCCGTGCAGCCGGCATCTGCGACTGTAAGCACGTGCTGCCCAGGCGCAGGGGAAGGCTCTGGACCAGCCGGGCCTGGTTTGAGAGTCCTGGTTTTCACCAGCTCTGCAGCGCCGCCACACGCTGCAGTCCCCAGAGGCCTCTGTCTGCCCAGCGACAGAGGGAAGATGATGGTGACATGAGGAAGAGAGGTGACTGGGTTATGGAGGTAAGGGCTGACGTCACAGGGATTCTTTTTTCCTGACTCAGGTTTCCAGGCCAGGGAGCAACGCCATGGCTCCGGGCAGGGCACTCTGCACCAGGCTTGTAAGCAGGAGGACCAGAGGGGCAAGGTGCCCTCCCCTCGCCCCTCCTTCTCTTTCTCTCTCACATTTTTCCCAGGAGATCTCTGGGTTTTTCTTTTTCTCTGTCAACTCCTGTTGCATCTATAAGTTTGAAACTTGGATTTACAGAAATTTATTTTGCATTAATTTTAGACTTTAAAAAAATTGCAAAAATATTGCGGCTGAGCGTGGTGGCACATATTTGTAATCCCCAATATTCGGGAGGCTGAGGCAGGAGGATCACTTCAGCCTAGGAGTTTAAGGCCAGCCTGAGCAACACAGCAAGACCCCACAGCTAAAAAAAAAAATGATTAAAAAAAAAGCACAAGGCTGGTGTGGTAGCTGAGGCCTATAAACCTAGCACTCTGGGAGGCTGAGGCGGGCTGATTGCTCAACATCAGGAGTTCGAAACCAGCCTGAATGAGACCCCATCTCTACTCAAAATAGAAAGAAATTAATTGCCCAACTAAATATATATATGTATAGAAGCCGGGAGCGGTGGCTCACGCCTGTAATCCTAGCACTCTGGGAGGCCGAGGCAGGCAGATTGCTTGAGGTCAGGAGTTCGAAACCAGCCTGAGCAAGAACGAGACTCCGTCTCTACTATAAATAGAAAGAAATTAATTGGCCAACTAATACATATACAAAAAATGAGCCGGGCATGGTGGCGCATGCCTGTAGTCCCAGCTATTTGAGAGGCTGAGGCAGGAGGATTGCTTGAGCCCAGGAGTTTGAGTTGGCTGGAGCCTAAGGCTGACTCCACGGCACTCACTCTAGCCCTGGGCAACAAAGGAGACCTGCTCTCAAAAAAAAATAATACACAGCCGGGTGCGTGCCAACCCTGTAATCTAGCACTCTGGGAGGCCAGTAGGGGCAGATGGCTCGGTCAGGAGTTTCAAACCAGCACTGAGCAAGAGCGAGACCACTCTACTAAAGACAGAAATTATTTGGCCAACTAAATATATAGAAAAAATAGCCGGGCCATGGTGGCACATACATGTTGCCCAGCGTACTCGGGAGTGAAGCAGCGGACGCTTGACCAGGAGTGAGGTTGCCCGTCGAGCTACGGCTGACGCCATGGCACCCTCTAGCTGGGCAACAGAATGAGACTCTGTTTCAAAATTAAACAGTACAGAGATTTCCCATATACCGATCACCCTGAATGTCAGCATCGTAACATTGTACGATGATCCAAACCTGGAAATTAACATCAATGTACTAATTAATACCATTACCCTGAAAATTGATCTTATTCAAATTTGGTCAGTTTTTCCCCTGGTGTTTTTTTTTCTGTTCCAGAACCTGACCCAATCCCGTACTGCACTTAGTGGTTGTGTCTCCTCCAGCCTGTGACGGTCTCTCAGTGTTCCCTTGTCTTCGGTGACTCTGACACTTTCAAAGTGTCCTGGTGGGTTGTTTAGTAGAACGTCCCTCAGTTGGGGGTTCTGGGGGAGGAGGGTGCTGGCGTTTGTGGCAGGAATATGAGAGAGGTGGTGTTGGGTCCTCGGTGTGTCTTACCAAGGAGTCCAAGGTTTGGTGTCTTATTGCTGGTGCAGTTGACCTTTGTCCCTCAGGCCGTGTCTGGAGGATTTCTCCACCGTGCAGTTCCTCCCTTTCCCTTTGTCGTTAATAAATATTTGTTGGGGGGGGGGGACTTTGAGGCTCTGCAAGTCCCACGACAGGGATTTTAGTATCCTTGGTTTATTCATTTCCCTATTGCATTTGTTTTACTTTATATTCCTCGTCGTCGTCTTGCATGACATTACGTTGCATGGTGGTGGGACTCTGCTTTTTCCTGAGAGTTTTCGAGTTAGAGGAGAAAATTACCACACAAGGGGATGAAGGTTATCGTTACAGGGTTTAATGTTTTCCCACTGGAAAAAGAGTTCGTGTGGGCCGGGCGCGGCGGCTCACGCCTCTAATCCTAGCACTCTGGGAGGCCGAGGCGGGAGGGTCTCTTGAGATCAGGAGTTTGAGGCCAGCCTAATCAAGAGAGAGACTCCCATCTCTACTAAAAGTAGAAAAAATTAGCCGGATATGGCACACACCTGTAATCCCAGCTACTGGGGAGGCTGAGGCAGGAGGATCGCTTGAGCCCAAGAGTTTGAGGTTGCTGTGAGCTAGGCTGGTGCCACAGCACTCGAGCCCAGGCAACAGAATGAGACTCTGTCTCAAAACGAAAGAAAGAAAGAGATTTAAGAGGAAATAAAATCACTATTCTTACTACTTTTAACATTTTTATGTATTACTTCCTAGTTACATGTTTTTAAGTTATGAACATGTAAAATAAAATGAGTCAATAAATGACATATGACCAGAGTAGAGAAGAAATAGAAGGAAAGACAAGTGGATTGAGGGTTAGGTAGAGGTAATGTCAGTGTCCAAGTAATAGTTGGGGATTTTTGAAAAATTTCCCTTGTTTGGTTGAGAAAAGATAGTCTTTGCTGCATCTGTTAATTGGAACTAACAGATATGCTAGATATATGTAAGTCTTTCTGAATTTTTTTCTTCTGACTGGGAAAACCCTCCAAATTCTTGTTTTTGAAAACATCGTCACCTTTTTAATTTTACCAAGGCGGTAGGAACATTATAAGGAGCAACATCACCCTCTTGTGGCCATCCAGAGCATTGTTGCCGAGGATTGGAATTGGTGTTTTCCTCCACTGTGGTACTGCGGACTCGCCCTGGGAAGTGCTTTGGGCCCTTTCAAAGGCTCCCTCTGGGGTACAGGTGGGGCTTCCTGCCGTGCAGAGGAACACAGCGGCGCTGAGCACCGCGTGTAAGGCAGAAAGTAAAGGGTGTGGTGAAGGCACTGATGCAAGGATGGAAATAGCTGTGCATTTGGGTGGCAGGACTATGGGTGATTTTCTAGTATGTTCTTAACACTTTGAAGATGGTTTTTATATGGTTTTTAGAATATTAGAATTTAGAAGACTTCACAACATAATATATAATCCATGCCACCCCTCTGCTGTGATGAGTAAACCGAACCCAGGAACAAGAAGCTTCCTCTGTTTGGTAGAGCTGTTTATGTACAGAAAACTGCTTCTCATCCAAGCGCCCTTTTCTATGGAGTCAGACCTGCAGGGGCTGTTTGTTAACAGCTTTGCTGAGATGCAGTTCACATACCATACAATCTCCCCGTATAACGTGTTCAATTCAGTGTTTTCACCATGTTCACAGAGTTGTGCAACTACCCCCACCGCCCATCTTAGAACATGTTCTTTTCTTTTGAGACAGAGTCTTACTCTGTTGCCTGGGCTAGAGTGCCGTGGCAGCAGCCTAGCTCACAGCAACCTCAAACTCCTGGGCTCAAGCGATCCTCCTGCCTCAGCCTCCTGAGTAGCTGGGACTACAGGCATGCGCCACTGTGCCCGGCTAATTTTTTCTATATATTTTTAGTTGTCCAGCTAATTTCTTTCTATTTTTAGTAGAGACGGGGTCTCGCTCTTGCTGAGGCTGGGTTCGAACTCCTGACCTCGAGCTATCCGTCCGCCTGGACCTCCCAGAGTGCTAGGATTACAGGCGTGAGCCACCGTGCCCGGCCTGAAACAGAAATTTGAATCGAGAGGATTGCACTGTCTCTTGTCACCTCCCACGACTGGGGCGCATTCCATGGACATGTGGTGCTTCCGTTGTGCTGGGTGGTCTGAGACCTAGGTGGCTGGTGTGGGGGCCCATGTCAGCCTCCACTCCTGTCCCTCTGCTGTGTCCCGTAGGAATTTGCACGCTGGTGGGCAGCAGCTGAATCACTTTGGTGGCCTATGGGAAGGTGCCTGGCCTTCAAGGGACGTGTGGGCAGGGCTTCCCGTCCCTGCCCGGAGCAGCTCCGCCCTGGAGGCACCTGCGAGGTCTGTCCCGCACACCCCCTGTGGGGTAGGATGGGCAGGGACTGGAAGGACCACATGGGGGGAACAGAGGTGGGCTTGGAGGCTGGACTGGGGCTGGGGGGATGACACGGGTGGCCCTGGACTCCCCGTCATCTGCCCATTACATGGGGTATTTCTTGAAGGCCCACCTTGGGGAGGATGGGGACTTCATGGCTGCCTTGGGCTGGGCACCCCTCTACGTCATCCCACAGGGACCCTGGAGCTGACCAGGCTTTTGGGGAGCAGAATGTGGGTCCCCAGATCAGGTTACTATGGAACAAAAATGGGGGCCAGTGGAACTGGAATTGCAAAACTTGGAGCAGGGGCGACATGTCCCCAGTGAGGAAGGTAAAAATGGCAGGGGCTGCACCAGTCTTGTTTCTAAGCTGTCACTGAGAGCTGGGAAAGACCCCACCATCCGCTGACCACCCAGTCACCCCAGAAAGACACAGAGGCTGACCCCACTACTGACTAAGCCCCAGCACCCCAGGCTCGGGTCTCCAGGCCAGCCCAGCCCCTGCTGGCTCCACGCTGTCAGCCTTTCAGCTGCTCCAGGCTGGAAGCCAAGGAGCCCCCAGGGACCTCAAGGGATTCTCCGTCACCCCCCCCAGCCCTGTCCCTGCCCAGCTGAGCCAGCACTGGCTCAGGCACAAGGTCGGTCCTCTTGCGGGGCCCTGGCATCTCCTGGGGCCCCCAGCCTAGCACGGGGCCTCCCAGGGCCAGGCTTCAGCGCTGTCTTCAAAGTGCCAGCGCTCACCTGGCCCACCCTCCTGAGACAGGTGCGCAGCGCCGGGTGGAGAGCACGGTCCAAGAGGTCCAGCGAGTCCCTGGGCACCTGAGCAGAACTGAGGCTCAACTTCCTGCCTCTTCAGCCTGAGGCATATCACTGTTTTCTGTGCCTCAGTGGCCCATCTGTAAACCGGGTCAGTAGGAACAGCCAGCTTTCATAACGTGGGGCTGAAGGTCACAGGAAAGTGTGTGGAAACGCTTCCCCTGTGCTCGGCACGAGAGGCCCGTGGGCCGTCACCCATCGCATCAGCACCTGTCAGCCCACAGCCCCTCGGGAGAGGCGTCTGTCGAAGTGAGGCTTGGACAGGGAGGGGACCCCGCAGAGAAGCAGCAGCCCAGGGTCCCCAGCTCCAGCAGGTCCCTCCCAGCCTCTCAGCCCCGGGGACACCCAGGCAGCCCATCTGCCCCACCTCCTTCCCAGCCCGTTGCTAGAGCCCCAGGCCCAGGGCTTCCTCCACTGACTGGGATTTTGCCTCCTTAGGACGGAGCCCCTGGACTCCCAGGTTCCTTGCCAGGGAGGAGGAAAGATCCATCTGCCAGGGCTGAGTGTGGCCTGAGGGGACAGGCCATCGGTCCTGGAATGCCCCTGCCTGAGGCCAGCGAGCAGGAGAGTGAGAGCATGAAGGCCGGCCAGGAGCCATCCCCTGAGCTGGGCACGGATGTCATCCTCGCAGCCCCCAGCAAGCCCGAGGAGTTCTCCGAACTGGTCCTGCTGACGGCCTCCGACCAGGGCGGGGATGGGGTGGACTTCGAAACCAGAGGAGTGCGCTGTATCGTGTCCCTGGAGACGTCTGGCCCCAACATCCTTGCCAGCACTCTGCAGATCCTGCCGGCCGAGGAGCCGGGGAGTGTAGTCCAGCCAGGTCCCCAGGTCCCTGAGCAGAGATGCAGCAGGCAGCAGCAGACAGGTGAGGGGCAAGGCCTGCTGCCCCTGGGCCAGCACCTCCACGGGCCCTAGGCACTCTCCTCTGTAGCGAAGTGACCTCAGCTGGCTGTCCCTGCTCCCAGCTGAGCCTTCTGGTGTCTGATCACAACCCTGCTCCAGGCTGGTGTAACGATCACACGGGCCCTGTGGGTCATCACCGCATGGGCACTGGGCACTCCCCGAGCTCATGGGGGCTGCAGGATGTGCCGAATTCCTTTAGGTGCTTGGGACATCCACTCCCCTCCCCCAGTAAAGCCACCTTGAGAGTCTGGACTTCCTGTCTGGCCCAGGAGGAGGAGCAGGCTCCTCCCACTGCAGGGACGCTGCCCCACTCCAGCACCCTCTCCGGCTCTGCCCACGCCTCTGGCCCCCAGCCCTACTCTGGGTCAGCTGACCCCGCCCTCCTCTTGCCCCCAGCAGCCCCCATGCCCCTGGAGTTCCTGAGGACCCCGTTCGGGGGCCGCCTCCTGGTGCTGGAATCGTTCCTGTACAAACAAGAGAAGGCGGTGGGGGACAAGGTGTACTGGAAGTGCCGCCAGCACTCATCGCTGAGCTGCCGGGGCCGGGCCATCACCCGAGGCCTAAGGGCCACGGTGATGCGGGACCACTGCCACCCGCCCGATGAGGAAGGCCTGGAAGCCCAGCGCCAGAAGCAGAAGCTGGCCGGCCTGGCGCTGGGGGATCCCGAGGGCCCTGCGCAGCTGGTCAGCAAGCCGGCCCCGGAGGAAGAGGGGGCACTCGGAAGCCTGTCGCTGCTGAGTCTGCCCCTCAAGAAACGCTCAATTCGGAGGGTTGGTGAGTGCACGCTGGGGCAGGCGGGGTCCCGAAGGCCCCTTCCCAAGCCCACCTAGAAATGTGGTTTTTAAAAATGTGCTTAGGCCAGGCGCGGTGGCTCATGCCTGTAATCCTAGCACCCTGGGAGGCCGGGGTGGGAGGATTGCTCAAGGTCAGGAGTTCAAAACCAACCTCAGCAAGAGTGAGACCCCGTCTCTACTAAAAATAGAAATTAATTGGCCAACTAAAAACATATATAGAAAAAATTAGCCGGGCATGGTGGCTTGTGCCTGTAGTCCCAGCTACTCAGGAGGCTGAGGCAGGAGGATTGCTTGAGCCCAGGAGTTTGAGGTTGCTGTGAGCTAGGCTGACGCCACGGCACTCTACCCTGGGCAACAGAGTGAAACTGTCTCCAAAAAAAAAAAGTGCTTAAAGTCAAAATGACTTTGAAAAGTATACAACCATGAAGCCCATGAGATAGAACTATTGCTCCTGAACCAGCTGTGATCTGGGGGTCCCAGGTCCTTCCAGGGGTCCCAGGTCCTTCCAGCATTTTCTGATGCAGCAGGGTCTGGTGTGGGGCCCAGAAATCAGGATCTAGCAGGCTCCAAGGAGGGCTGGTGTCCTTACGTTCAGGAAGGATGCCGAGAAGGAGAGTTTGGGGCGTGGGTCCCAGGTTCAAATTCCAGCCCCCCCTGTGGTTGCCCTGTAGCCTCGGAGAATTGGCTTAATTTCTAGAGTGTCAGGAGCTTTATCCTGAGACGGGCAGGTAACTCAAGTTGTGGTGGAGCTGGCAAGTTCTGGCGCCTGGGAAGCGCCCGGCACGTCAGGGTTTTATGGTGGCGTTGTTACCCGTAACTGGGCTGTGGGCGTGGGTTCGAGAAGCCAGGGTGCCTGGGAGGGGCAGGCAGAGGCTTATTTTTCACGGTGTATTTTTTGGTACTATTTGAGTTTTATGGCGCGTTGAGTTCTATGTGTATGTGTTACAAAGTGGATGAAAGTGAAAGGCCTAAGAGAAAGTGGACTGGGAACGGAGGGGCCGGAGTCCATCTAGTCTCCTTCCGGGGTGACACCGACTCGGAGTCTCACAGCCACTGTGACGCTGAGGCGTCCCGGTGACGACTGGGAGGGGACCTGCCGCTTCCCTGGCTCTCCTGGTGGGGGTGTTGGTGGGAAGGGTCCCCGCAGCCATAGCCAATTCCAGCCCTACGGGAGAAACGCATGTCAGTCCCCAGAGTGCCGTGGGCACGCCCTCCCCTCTCGGCTGTGACTGCCCTGGGTCCCCCTCCAGGACAGCCCCGGTCCGTGGAGTTCCTAAGGACGTGCTACGGGGGCAACTTCCTGGTGCACCAGTCGTTCCTGTACAAGCGGGAGAAGGCCGTGGGCGACAAGGTGTACTGGACCTGCCGGGACCACACGCTGCACGGCTGCCGCAGCCGCGCCATCACCCAGGGCCAGCGGGTGACCGTGATGCGCAACCACTGCCACGCGCCCGACATGGAGGGGCTGAGGGCCCGGCGGCAGCAGGAGAGGGCCATGGCGAAGCAGCAGGGCAGGCCGGGCGGGCCCGGGGGCCAAGCGGACAGGCTGCTCCAAGGCGTGGACAGTCTGTGCTACCGCAGGGGGCCGGGCACCCTCACCCTCACCAGGCCCCGGTCCAGAAAGCGAGCGAAGGTCAAAGACGAGCCTCCGGCCCAGCCCCACGCCCGGGAGGGCTCCCCCGAGGAGGACCAGGACGCAGAGCCCGGTGAGGCCCGAGCCTGCCCTGCCGCCCTCTAGTCCTGCCTCCTGGGGTCCAGGGAGGTGGGGGGAGGTCAGGCCTGCCCAGCCCGGCCCCTGCCTCCTCCTCCTCGGCCCCCTCTGTCCCCTCCCCTGACACGTCTCCCCTGCCCCCAGGAGGCCCCGAGTTCCTGAGGACCCCACTGGGGGGCAGCTTCCTGGTGCACGAGTCGTTCCTGTACAGGCGGGAGAAGGCCGCGGGGCAGAAGGTGTACTGGACCTGCCGCGACCAGGCCCGCATGGGCTGCCGCAGCCGCGCCATCACCCAGGGCCGGCGGGTGACCGTCATGCGTGGCCACTGCCACCCGCCCGACCTGGGGGGCCTGGAGGCCCTGAGGCAGCGGGAGAAACGCGCCAGCCCGTCGCCAAGAGGGAGTCCAGGTACCTGGGGATGGGATGGACGGGGGGCTGGGTCCCGGGAAGCAGGCCTCAGACCCCACGGCCGTTCCCTCTCCACCTCATGTGTGCCACGGGCAGACGTCTTCCTTCCTTCCTTCTGTGAACATTCTAGAAGGAGTTACAGTCCTCGCCTCCCATTCCTTGGCCCACCTAGTTTTGCTTTCAGGGGGATCCCACCCGCCCAGCCCCCCTTTCCAGCCTGACCTGCCCCCAGATCTCAGCAGCTCGGGACACCTCCACACGCCTTCCCTCCTCCTTCCCCTCTGGTTTTTTGCCTGGCGTCTGGACTGTTGTGGTCACCGTGGAACCGCTCCTGGCTGAGATCCGCTGAGATCCTCCCAAAGTGCTGGGATTACAGGCGTGAGCCACCACGTCTGGTTACCCTATTTCTTAAAACGTGTTTCTATTAATTGTTTTCTCAGTCTCCTTGTCAACTGTTAACTTACAGTCAGAGAAATTAAGGATTCAGCTCCAATCCACAGGCCCACGACTCAGGGCACTTACGTGCAGGTTTTTGTTTTTATTCTGTTACATAAACCTGTTCGCAGCGGCGCGGGGGAGGCACCCACGCCATTCCCTGCCCACCCTTCCCTGTGCAGCTCCATTCTCTGCGGTGCAGCAGCCGCTGAATCTGCCTGGTTTTCTGTGTGCCCATTGCTGCTTTCTTCCCTCACCTGCGATCAGGTCTGCAGACACCTCGGGGTTTTGCTGATGAAGGCCCTGCCTGCCCCAGCCTGGCCTGGGGGCGCCCATCAGTCTCCCGAGGGTTCCCCCTGCCAGACTCCTGCTCTGGGCTTGCCTTTCTCTTTCTTGGTTGTGTGGTTTGGAGAAGCCCCTCTGGGAGCCAGGGTGTCCCGGCAGGCACGCTCAGACCTCACGCATCCGAAGGTGCCCGTACTCCCCTGGCGCGGGTAGACAGCGTGGCCGTTTGTGGTGCTCCAGGCGGTAGGCAGGTCTGTTCCCGCCCTGCGTGTGGTCGGGCTGGGCTCGAGGCCGCGGGGCCTGCTCCCACGCGGGGCGACTTCCTTGTGTTCTTCCGTGACCTCCCCCGTCGTCGTGTCTCCCTGTTGCTCCTGGGAGCCGGAAGTTGGTCCTGCCGGGATGAGGGATTGTTTACGCGGCACTGAGGCCGCCTAGGCCTTCTATTTCAGTCAGGCCTTCTTCCAGTCCTTCTTCCAGTCCTTCTATTTCATTTTCCAAAGTTTTGCTCTCGAGGTTGACCATCTCCTGCGCAGTCCGCCCAGTCTCAGAGCCGGTGTGCTCCGGGGCCTGGTCTCTGCTTCGGCCTCTGCCCTCAGGGTGCAGCTTCTCCTGGGCGTCCGGCGACCTTCGGCTGCGAGGCGCTGACCGCGGGCTTGGCACGGGGGCTGCAGTAGCGAGTGGTGTTTCCACCGTGGGGCCCCGGGCCTTGCCCGTGGGGGTTTGGGCTGGTCAGTGCCCACAGGAGGCACCTCCTGCCCTGGGCACACGGGCCTGGTCACCGGCTTTCTGGGGCTCGGGCAGGGGACGGGAAGCATTGGCACCGTGGGCGCAGACGCCCACCACTTCCCTGGTGTCGGCACCGGGCCTCCGCCTCGCCGGGCGTGGGTGGCTGCCGTGGCCTCTCCTTGGCTCCTCACGCCAGTAACCCTCACCGCGACGCCTCCTCCCGAAGGACCTCGGGTCCCCGGCTGCCTCCCCCTTGGGTCCTGTCTGCATCCCTGGCCTCGTGGTCTCGTCCATTTAGGAATAAAAAGGCAATTTTAATTGCATGTGGAAGGAGGTGGACCCTGCCCCATGGTCACGGGCTCACTTCCTGTGGTCACATGTCCCCACTCCTCCTCCTGGCTGGCTCTGACCCCCCCCCAACATTCTGCACCCCACAGAGTCCCCCTGCCTCCCTGACCGCCCCCAGTCCCCCACTGCTCAGCCCTCGCTGTCTGTCTCTAAGGTGGCTCTGCAGCTGCTTCCCTCGCCTGCTCGGGGACGTTCTCGCGCTAAGGGCTTCTGCGGCCACCGATGTGCTCACGACTCCCCCTCTTCTCCACTCTCCTCTGCGGCCCCTGTGCCCGGGCGGGGAAAGGGAGACCTCTGGGCAGAAGGGCACAGCCAGCCCCCTGGGTCCCCCCCTCAACACGTCCAAGACAAGACGTGCAGGGGTGGGGGACGGAGACGTGGCCCTGCTGCAGCTGCGCTCGCTGCCACAGCCTCAGCTGCCTTGTCCCCGAGGCCGTGGGCGCATCCCTCTGACTGCGCAGGCGCGGTGCGCCCTGCACGCTGGCCCCTGTGGGCGCTGAGGACAGCTGAGCGGACATAGCAGCCACCACCCTGCAGGCCTGGGGTGGCGCCAGCCTCTACCTGCAGGGTCCCTGCCCCTCAGGAAAGCACCCCTGGCAGCAGCAGGCCAGCTGGGTGTGGGGTGGCAAGCCTGTGTCCTGGGCTCCTCGGCCACCTCACTGTGGGGAGGGGGTGCAGGCGCAGGGCCGGGACTCGCTCCAGTGGCCATGCTGCTCCTGAACACGGCGCCCCCAAGCCTGGGCTCCAGCCTCCTCCCCTGACACCTCTCCCCTGCCCCCAGGAGGCCCCGAGTTCCTGAGGACCCCGCTGGGGGGCAGCTTCCTGGTGCACGAGTCGTTCCTGTACAGGCGGGAGAAGGCCGCGGGGGAGAAGGTGTACTGGACCTGCCGCGACCAGGCCCGCGTGGGCTGCCGCAGCCGCGCCATCACCCAGGGCCGGCGGGTGATGGTGATGCGTGGCCACTGCCACCCGCCCGACCTGGGGGGCCTGGAGGCCCTGAGGCAGCGGGAGCAGATCCCCAACCTGGCCCGGTGGGAAGAAGGCCCAGGTGCGTGCAGGGGGGGGGCGGTGGGCGCTGGTCTCCCTGCTGCCCGGCAGCCCCCGGGGCCTGAGCCCCCGCACAGGCTGGAGGCTGCCTGGGGGACGTGCGTGCCACGTGCGTCGGTCTGTCCGCTGGGCTGGGCGCTGAGGGCTCCGTGCAGGCTGAGCTGTCGGGAGACCACTAGAGAGAGGAGCTGGAGGGCTGGGGTGGTGCCCTCAGCAGCTGCAGGACACGCTTGGCACCCCATGGGCCCTGGGCTCACCTCGTCTCCCCTCCCCGTGCCCCCGGCTGCTGCTGCTCTCGCACGCTTCCCCCAGGCCACCCCCAACGCTGCGTGACCTTTTGGTTCAGCCTAAAAGTCAGGGAGTCTGATTGGCGGGTGGGTGGACAAGGAGCTGGGCTGTGCCCCCAGTGCTCGGCCCAGCCTCTGCCCCGGGGAGGTCAGGAGAGGCCTCCAGGAGAGCACGGGGTTCGGGCAGCTGCAGGGCCCTTGGAAAGGGACAGCCAGTCTGCAGTCAGGGCTGTGGCCTGAGCGTTGGCCCCGAGAGGGTCCTGCGGGGGGAAACGGGCATCGCTGCCCCAGGCCCCACTCACGGTGTCACATTCCCCTCAGGAGCCCTCCGGCCCCTGGAGTTCCTGAGGACGTCCCTCGGGGGCAGGTTCCTGGTGCACAACTCGTTCCTCTACAGGAAGGAGAAGGCCGCCGGGGACAAGGTGTACTGGATGTGCCGGGACCAGGGTCGGCTGGGCTGCCGCAGCCGCGCCATCACCCAGGGCCAGCGGGTGATGGTGATGCGCAGCCACTGCCACGCGCCCGACCTGGTGGGCCTGGAGGCCCTGAGGCAGCGGGAGCGGCTGCCCAGCACAGCTCGGCAGGAAGACCCAGGTATTGGGGGGGGGGTGTGAAAGAGCCACGCTGTCCTGTCTCTGCCAGCCGGGGACTGACACCCTCTGCAGAGCCTGCAGCCTCCCCTCCACCAGCTCCTTCCTCTTTAACCCAAAACCACTCCAAACCTGCCCCAGTTCTCTCTCCTTGTATTCTAAGAGGTCTTATCTTTTCGCAGCTGGCAGTCTCTTACATAGACCGCCCCAGGCAGCGTTCGTGGGTGCAAGTGTATGCACACAAACACACAAGGTTTAGCACATGTGTCTCACATTAATTCATGTGAATATTAAAGGCCACATTGTTGGCGGGGCTCGGTGGCTCACGCCTGTAATCTTAGCACTCTGGGAGGCCGAGGCGGGCGGATTGCTCGAGGTCAGGAGTTCGAAACCAGCCTGAGCAAGAGCAAGACCCCGTCTCTACTATAAATAGAAAGAAATTAATTGGCCAACTAATATATAGAGAAAAATTAGCCAGGCATGGTGGCGCATGCCTGTAGTCCCAGCTACTCGGGAGGCTGAGGCAGGAGGATTGCTTGAGCCCAGGAGTTTGAGGTTGCTGTGAGCTAGGCTGACGCCACGGCACTCACTCTAGCCTGGGCAACAAAGCGAGACTCTGTCTCAAAAAAAATAAAGGCCACATTGTTTAAAACATAGAAATGAATTCAAGTTGTATAAAACCACCAAAAGAAAAGGATTGCTGTGAGAAAGCAACTATTTGGCTTAAACAAGAAGTAGAAGTTGTAGGCTGGGTGCGGTGGCTCACGCGTGTAGTCCCAGCCAGGAGGCTGAGGTGGGAGGTTCACTGGAGCCCAGGAGTCTGAGGTTACAGTGATCGAATGACACCACGGCACTCCAGCCTGAGCAACAGAGTGGCTTTGGCCCAGTGAAGGGCATCTCATCTTTGATATCTAGTTTCTTTTGATGATGGGCTGAAGACTGACTCTTAGGATCTCAAGTAACTTGTTTTACTAGGTACAGGTAGTCTGGGTGTTAGAAAACCAGAATTCCAGCCAGGTGTGGTGGCTCACACCTGTAATGCCAGCAACTCAAGAGGATTGCTTGACCCAGTCTCTTAAAAAAAACCAGAAATGACTCGATCTGGTTGTCTTTATCATCAGGGTTTTGAGGTCACCATCAACAAGGTGTGTGTCACTGATTCTGTCAGCTTTTTTTTTGAGACAGAGTCTCACTCTGTTGCCCGGGCTAGAGTGCCGGCATCAGCCTCGCTCACAGCAACCTCCAACTCCTGGGCTCAAGCAATCCTCCTGCCTCAGCCTCCCAAGTGGCTGGGACTACAGCCATGCGCCACCATGCCTGGCTAATTTCTTTCTATTTTTGGTAGAGACAGGTCTCACTCTTGCTCAGGCTGGTCTTAAACTCCTGTCCTCAAGCGACCGTACCCCTTGGCCTCCCAGAGTGCTAGGATTACAGATGTGAGCCACTGCACCTGGCCTCTGTCAGCTTCAACAAGAATAATTAACTCACATTTTCAATTTTTTTCTCAGAAAAGATAAAACTTCTGCCTAAAGTTGAACTGTCCTTCAAGACTTGTTCTCCTGAAAGCCAGCAGACTTACGGGTAATTGTATAGTTATCTCATGCTTTGTCACAGATTAACCCCAAAACTTAATGGCTTCAAACAACAAATATTTACTGTCTCTGTCCGATTTTGTGGGGCAAGATCGTGAGGGGGTTGGGGCTGCGTGGCTCTGACTCACGGTCTCTCGTGAGGTTGAAGAGAAGTCATCCTGGGCTGCCTGAGTGTCCTCAAACGTGGCAGGTGTCTCCCCTGAAGTGACTGATCCCAGGGAGGAGAGCAGAGCGAGGAGGAAGCTGCCAACAGCGGAATCCATATTCTTCTCAAGCACACGTGGACCGTTCCCAGGACAGAACGTGTCTAATCCGTAAAACAAAGACTTAAGAAATTTAAAAGGATTGAAATCTTACAAAGTGTGTTCCTGGAATGAAGTTAGAACTCAGGAAGAAATGGTGGGAAGCTGACAAATACTTGGAAACCAAACAACACACTCCTGAAATGAAAGAAAATGGAGACAAAACAGTGGGGACGCAACGAAAGCACCGCTTAGAGGGAAAGTGAGGACTATTTGTTTATATTAAAAAAGAAGAAAGGTCTCAAATCAATAAAATAGTAGAAAGAGAACAAACTAAGCCTAAGGCCAGCAGAAGGAAGACAATAAAGATTAGAACAGAAATTAATGAAATAGAGAATAGGAAAATAGTAGAGAAAATGAAACCTGATGTTGACTCTTTGAAACAACAAAAACTGTCAAATCTAGCTAGACTGATCCAAAAAATTAGAAGACTCAAGTTACTAGCATCAGGAATGAAACATGAGACATTACTACTACTTACTTTAAAAAAAAAGATTATAAGGGAATATTAATATTTGTATGCCAACAAATAACTTAGATGAAATGAAAATATTCCTAGAAAGACATAGCTACTAAAACTGACTCAAGAAGAAATATTAGAATCTGCATAGCCATACAACAAGAGATCAAATTAATAATCTTAAATTTCCCCACAAAGAAAAGCGCAAGCCCAGAAGTCTCCACCATGAATTCCGTGAAACATTTAAAGAAGAATTAACACCAGTCTTTCACAACCACTTCCCAACTCATATCCTGATACCGAAACCAAGCAAAGGCATCAGTAGAAAAAGAAAACTTACAGACCAGTATCTCTCAGGAAAATCCTCAACAAAATACCAGCAAGCAGAATCTGGCACCCTAAAAAAAGGATTATACACCATGACCCAGTGAGATTTATCTCAGCAATGCAAGGTTGGTTTAACATCCCAAATTCAACTAATGTGACGCACCGTCGGTATGCAGCAGACCTAACATAGCAGGCCTGACAGGTGCCCTTAGGACAGCCTGCTTGCAAGGGTGACCCTTAGCCGGTAGACAGTTCCCTGCACAGACGATACCGCACTGCCCCTGAACGGCATGTGTGACAGCGTTTTGGTCAGTAACAGACTGGATATACTATGGAGGTCCCATAAGATGAAAATTCCTATGGCCTCGTGACCACTGCCCGTCGTGGCTGTCCTGACGTCGCCGAGGTGCAAGGCGTCACTCTCGTGTTAGTGGAGATGCCACCGAAAACAAGCCTGCTGCACTGCCAGTCGTGGGGAAGCAGAGCGCACACGACCACAGCGCACAGTATTTGATAGTGATAGTAAACAACTGTGTTACTGTAGTTTGTGTATGTGCTAAACTATGCTTTGTATCACTGTTTTAGAGTGTACTCTTTTTACTTATTAAAAAAAAAAGTTAACGGTAAACCAGCCCGAGGCAGGTCCTTCAGGTCTTCCAGAAGGAGGCACTGTTGTCACAGGAGATGACAACTCCTGTGTGTGGCTGCCCCTGAAGACCTTCCGGCAGGACAAGATGTGGGAACCAGCGATGTTGATGATCTTGACCCTGTGTGGGACTAGGCTGATGTGTGTGCTTGTGTCTTCAGTCCTTAACAAAAAAGTTTTAAAACAAAGAAGCATTTTAAAGAAAAAAGCTTATAGAATAAGGATATAAAGAAAAAATATTTGTGTGCAGCTGTACAGTGTTTCAAGATGAGTGTTATTACAAGAATCAAACCAAGAAAAAAATACATCATAAGATAAAAATGGTTACATAGGCCAGGCACGGTGGCTCATGCCTGTAATCCTAGCACTCTGGGAGGCCGAGGCAGGCAGATTGCTCAAGGTCAGGAGTTCGAAACCAGACTGAGCAAGAGCGAGACCCCGTCTCTACTATAAATAGAAAGAAATTAATTGGCCAACTAATATATATAAAAAAATTAGCGGGGCATGGTGGCGCATGCCTGTAGTCCCAGCTACTTGGGAGGCTGAGGCGAGGTTGCTGTGAGCTAGGCTGACGCCACGGCACTCACTCTAGCCAACAAAGCGAGACTCTGTCTCAAAAAAAAAAAAAAAAAGTTACATAAAATGTTAAAGCAAGCTGAAGTTAATATTGAAGAAATAAAATTTTTTGAGCGTAGTGTAGCCTGAGTGCACGGCGCTTATGGTCTACAGTGGCGCACAGGAACGCCCAAGGCCTTCACACTCACTCGCTCACCCAGAGCAACTTCCAGCCCCCCCCCAAGCTTCGTTCCCAGTATGTGCCCCATACAGGTACCGTCCTTTATCTTTTATACCATATTTTTACTATACCTTTTCTATGTTTAGCTGTATTTAGATACACACCATCGTGTTACAGTTGCCGATAGTATTCAGAACAGTAACATGCTGTACGGATTTGTCGCCTAGGAGCAACAGGCTACACCAGGGGTAGGAAACCTGCGGCCACACCTGGGGGCCTCCAGACCCCCACGTGTGTCGCCCCTTAACCGAGTCCAACAGAGCTTCGCAGAACTGTTGTGTAAAGTCTGGATTCAGCCAAAGGCCGCACTCAAGGATCCAGGAGGCCACGTGTGGCCCCAAGGCCTCCATACCATATTGCCTAGGTATGTCGTAGGCTATACCATCCTGGTTTGTCTAAGTACACTCTAATGACATTCACGCAGTGACAAAATCGCCTAATCACACATTTCTCAATCCCTGTCACTGGGTGACGTGTGACTATGTGGAAACACATCCCCACATTCATGGATTGGAAGACCTGAAATTTGCGTGGAAACTCAACCCAGAATCGCCAAAACACTCTTGGAAAAAGCGCAAGGTTGGAGGACTCGCACCTTTCAATTTAAGAACTTGCCACAAAGCTACAGTAATCAAGACGGGGCACCTAAGGATAGGTAGATCAGGAATTGAGAGTCTGGAAGGTGAAACCTCTCAGGGTCAGTTGATTTTCAAACACGGGCGCCAGGACAATGGGGAGCGAATTGTCGCTAAGTGGCGCTGGGACACCTGGATATCCACATACGAAAGGACGGAGTTGGACCCCTCCCACGCCTTATACAAAAACTAATTGGATTACAGACCTAAACGTAAGAGCTAAAGCTGTAAAAATACAAAAAGATAGGAGTAAATCTTTGTGTCCTTGAATTAGACAAAGCTTTTTATATAGGACACCAAAAGCACAAGCAACCAAAGGATAAGGTGGACTTTTTAACTTTGATAAACACAGCACCATCAAGAAAGTGAAGAGGCAACCTGCAGAATGAGAAGAACTATTTGCAAATCCTGTCTGATGAGGGGCTTGTATCTAGAACATATAAAGGGTTCTTAGAGCACAGCGGACAACCTAGTTAAACGAGCAAAGGATCTGAATGGCAGTTTTCCAAAGAAGATTTGATCCCTTTGATGGAGTCCAAGATACACAAATGGCCAATAAGTAGAATTAAAGGTGCTCAACATCCTTAGCTTTGGGGAAATGCAAATCCAGGTGACAGTGAGATACCACTTCACTCCACCGCGGTGGCTATTAAGAAAGACAGACAATATACCCAGTGCTGGCAAGGATGAGGAGAAATCAGAACCCTCGTGTTCTCTGGGTGGGAACGCAAGATGGTGCAGCCACCTTGGAAAACAGTCCAGCAGGTCCTCAAACGGTTACACACAGAGCTAGCCTGTGACCCAGTAATTCCACTCCTAGGTTATACCCAAGAAAACTGAAAACATATATCCTCACTAAAATATATACAAATGTTTGTATCAACATTATTCATAATAGCCAAACCTTGAAACCAACCCAAAACATCTCTGGATAAATAAAACGTGGTCTGTCCATTCAGGGAAGCAGCGTTCGGCCATACAAAGGAACGAAGTGCTGATACTTACGGCGACATTGGATGAGCCTTGAAGACATCGACTGCAGGGAGGGCAGCCGGGCACAAAAGAGCAGCAGGATCTACAGGCCCACCTGTGGGAAGTGTCTGCACCAGGCGCCTCATACAGAGACAGAAAGTAGATTAGCGGTTGCCTCGGGCCGGGGAGGTTGGGGAGTATCAGGGTGATAGTAAAGGGTGTGGGGCATTATTTGGGGACTGGGGAGGTGTTCTGAAGTGACTGCAGTGAGTGACGATTGCAGAGCTCTGGCTGTAGGGAAAATCGCTGAATTGTTTACAGAGGTGAAATTTATGGAATCGATTATAGCTCAGTAAAGCTGTTAAACAACGAAAAGGAAGGAGGTCACAGTGACTTTCGTAACCAGGGTCCACCTCGCTACTGCCTTAGTCTGTCCCTTGGGTGCCAGCCACTGCCCCGGCCCACTCACCAGGGGAGGGGAGCTGGGCGCCCCCATGGGAAGTGAGGAACACAAAGCCCGAGAACAAACCCATCGCGGCCAAAGTGAGAACTTTGCATTTCTTGACCGCCTTGAAAAGGCCGGGGTGGGAGTCCCTGGCGACTTCCGGGGCAGGAGATGGGACTTCTCGGAAGTGTTGGGTGTGTCTCCCCAGAACATGCTAGAGCAGAAAGCAGGGAGTTCCCAGAGCGTTGGTGACGGAGCAACGTCACGCTTTAAAGGAATTGATACGATGCGCGCGTAAACATGATCTCTCCGATGGTTATCTCTAGGAAGGGTTCCAGCAGTCCTGAACTTTCTCTATTACCTGTTCCCACCGTGTCTGAGCCTATGTAACGGATGTGTTTCTCCCTGACCAGGGCCGTGGAAGACACAAACGCGGACGGCGAGTCCCCGTGAGGCGGGTCTCCTCCCTCGGGCTGAGGACACCCGAGCCGCCGGCCCTGAGGTTTCGCGTCCACGCAGGCATTGCCCATCCACTTAGATCTTGCTTGAAAAAATTTATTTTCACTCTTCCAAAGCATCAATGGCCTTCACATTTCCTTAAGTCTCCCAGCAGGAATTCTCGGACCGCATCCTCGTGTTGGCGGTCACGCCCATGGCGGGACAGGGCAGTGGCCGCTGACGCCTTCCTGACCTCAGAAAGATGTGAAGAAGCATCTTGGGACAAAGATACCTCCTCCCTGTCCTGCTGCTCCAGCCACAGTCACCTGTGCATTTTCAGAGCACTCGGCTCTCCCAGGGACTTTCCCGCTGGGGGTGACGCTGCTCAGCTCAATAAAGTGAAAAGTGAAACGGCGTCTTAGAGCTAGAGCACGTTTGTTGGGGTTCCCGTGTCTTTGGACCGAGCTGCCCTCCGTGGACTGGTGCGAGCCACGCCTGGTCCTTTCCGGACAGGTGCCTGGTGGGCCTTCCTGGCCTTTGGCCGCCTGCTCCTGGCAAGTGGCTGTCCCCAACAATTAACAGAGCTGGCCGAGCCAGAGGCCTCGGTATCCCCTCTGTTGGACTCCCCTGCCTGTGCCGTTTTCCAACTTAAATTAAACCCTGTAGGCTAGTCCGAAGGTAGTAAGTTATCTCACTTGATTGTTCGCAGTCAGTTACAGATTGAACTCCTTGTTCTACTACTTTCCCCCCCTCCTCACTACTGCACTTGACTAGTCTTTAAAAAAAAAAAAAAAAACCCTGTAGGCCGGGCGCGGTGGCTCACGCCTGTAATCCTAGCACTCTGGGAGTCTGAGGCAGGAGGATCACTCAAGGTCAGGAGTTTAAGACCAGCCTGAGCAAGAGCGAGACCCCATCTCTACTAAAAAATAAAAATAAAATTAGCTAGACAACTAAAAATATATAGAAAAAATGAGCCGGGCATGGTGGCCGCATACCTGTAGTCCCAGCTACTTGGGAGGCTGAGGCAGAAGGATCGCTTGAGTCCAGGAGTTTGAGGTTGCTGTGAGCTAGGCTGACACCATGGCACTCACTCTAGCCTGGGCAACAGAATGAGACTCTTGTCATTTCCAGCAGGGGGAGCCAGCCAGATGTCAGCAAGAAGCGGGCGCTGGGCAGACATGCCCGGGCTGAGGCCAGTGGCGTCCCAGGGCACCTGTGTCCATCTGGAGCCTAAGGAGAGTTAGACAGATGGCAGCGGGGGCACGTCCCCTCCTCCTGTCGGGCAGCTTAGTGGACCACTGGCTTAGCAGGTCGAGGAGGGCCAAGCTGACACCCGCTGGGAGCTCAGGGCTCCTGCTTGCTGTCCCTGCCCTCGCCCTGTGGCCGTGGAGGGGTGGCGGGCTCCCCTGCCCTGGCGAGCCGGCCACGCAGCCGCCATCCGCTGTGGGGTAGTAACAGCCCAGCTTGGGCACACCCGCTATTCCTCTGCTTACGTGTGCCCCCCAGTAAAGCCTATTTTATAGCTCACCGCGTGGACCTGGTGTGTGTCCACGTCCCCTCTGTGACAACAGTTGGCCACCATGAAGCCACACGTTCCACCTGTCTGTGCCACATGCTCAGGAAGTGATGGAGTTTGGTTGGGCAATGCCAGGCAGTGGGGGTCACCTGGCCCAGATGTCCCTGGACCACAAGCCGGTGGGGGGACCCGGAGTGGGGCTCTCCAGAGGGGCAGCTGAGGGGTCTGTCCCCAGCCCGCAGGCCTTGTTGCTGGAGAGGTTTGATTCTCTGCCGCTGTGCCTCCGCCTGGCTGGGGCTCCCCGGGACTCGTTTGCACGAGCTGGGGCAAGCTTGAAATGGAAGTGGTATCCCCAGGAGTCAGTTTGCTCCCCAAGACCCGGCTACCTTTCCAGACAGGTCACTGTCCCCTTCTGTCAGTCTGGCCCATTACTTGGCCCAACTGCCGCCCCATGGGGCCACCTGCCAGACTTGCTGCAGGTCCGGGAGATGCTCCGCTGGGTGGCGGTGCCTCCAGGGCAAGGCCACCCTGCCTTCTGATGGCCCTAGCAGGGGACCCCCGACACCGTGGCTGCCTTCCAGGCAGTGCTCCCAGCCGGGACGCATCCTGCCCTAAGGCTGAGTGAAATCGGCCACGGCCAAAGACAAAGACCAGCCCCACGGGAACAGACCCGGCAGCCCCAGCCCGCTCCTCCGCCTGGCTCGAGTGTGCGCACCGGGAACAGCGCTTTAGGGAGCACCGGACCCGTTTGCCGCCACCAGCCGGAGCTCTGGCCAGGCCCAGCACGGAAGGGGAAGCTCCACACAGGCCTGAGGTACCCAGGAATGCTCCAAGTCACAGCAGCCATTGCGACCTGCCAGCTCTGCGCCGCTGCGGGAGACCTCTGCCACGCCCGTCACCTCGGCTGGGCTCTGGGCACCCAGAGTCAGCGTGGAGAGAGCCAGGAAGGACACAGGTTCGCTTCCCTCTTTGGACATCCAAGCCGATTGACGAGGGCCGGTCCTCCCTCCCTCCACGCCCACTTTGACCTCAGAGGACCGTGACGCCCAGATGGTTGTGAATTTGGATGCTGCTGTTGCCTTGGGTGGCTTCCCAGCCACCCACTTCTGCCCCAGGACCTGCTCAGCCAGGGCAGGGGGCTGATGTTGGCCACTGAGCTCCAGAGCCTTCTCCTTCCTAAGTCCACTTTCTCCATGCTTCCAGAGTCCCCCGGGTGTCCCCTGCCCCCATCCTTGTCACAGAGCAAAGCACACAGCAAATACCTCTCATGAAAGCTGGCCATGGAGCGTGTGGCCCCAGGGGAGTGGCTGCTACTGCCCTCCCCCCTCTGCTGACAGCTTCTCCAATAGAACCTATTTTGTCACGTCTGCACCATGTGGGGTGTCTCTGTGCCCCTTAGTGTGACAGTGCAGAACATCATCTCGTGAAATTTAACATTAAGAATTCCTTGGCCAGGCTGGGCGCGGTGGCTCACACCTGTAATCCTAGCACTTTGCTCCAGGTCAGGAGTTCGAAACCAGCCTGAGCAAGAACGAGACCCGTCTCTACTATTAATAGAAAGAAATTAATTGGCCAACTAATATATATAGAAAAAATTAGCCGGGCATGGTGGCACATGCCTGTAGTCCCAGCTACTCGGGAGGCTGAGGCAGGAGGATCTCTTGAGCCCAGGAGTTTGAGGTTGCTGTGAGCTAGGCTGACGCCACGGCACTTACTCTAGCCTGGGCAACAAAGTGAGATTCTGTCTCAAAAAAAAGAAAAGAAAAGAAAAGAAAAGAAAAGAAAAGAAAAGAAAAGAAAAGAAAAGAAAAGAAAAGAAAAGAAAAGAAAAGAAAAGACAAGACCACAATGAGATATCACTTAACTCCAGTGAGAATGGCCTTTATCAAAATGTTCTAAAACAATAAATGTTGGCGTAGATGCGGAGAGATAGGAACATTCTTACACTGCACTGCTGGTGGGACTGCAAAGTAGTTCAACCTCTGTGGAAAGCAATATGGAGATACCTCAAAGAGCTACAAGTAGAAGAGCTATGATTTGATCCAGCAATCCCACTACTGGGCATCTACCCAAAGGAACTAAAGACATTATATCAAAAAGACACCTGCACTTGAATGTTTATAGCAGCACAATTCACAGTTGCAAAGATGGAGAAACAACTCAAGTGCCCATGAATACATGAGTGGATTAATAAAATGTGCTATATGTATACCGTGGAGTTCTACTCAGCCACAAAAAACAATGGTGCTATGTCCCCTCTTGTATTATCCTGGATGGAGCTGGAGCCCATTCTACTAAGTGAAGCATCACAACCGTGGAAAAACAAGCACCACATGTACTCACCATCAAATTGGTACTAACTGATCCACACTTGGAAGTAACATCCATCAGGTGCCGTGGCGGCGGAGGGGAGGGGCGTAATCACACCTAATGGGTGCAGCGCGCACTGTCTGGGGGATGGACACTCCGAAGCTCTGACTCAGGTAGGGCAAAGGTAACCTAAACGTTTGTACCCCCATAATATGCTGAAATAAAATAAATAAATAAGCAAGAATTCCTGAGCAGCAAGGGTGTCAACAAGGAACTGAAATCTGAAACGGCGGGCAGTGGCCTGCTTGTAGAAGCCCTGGCCTCCCCCTGTCCTTGTGGTTACAAGGTGGGCCTCAACCCCACTGGCCCCAGCCAGCCTCCTGTTCCATCTACCCTGTCAAGACAGCTGGCGCAAGTGGCACAAATTCACTGTCACTGAGGCCAGCAGATGCTTCTGAGTCGAGATGGGCAGGTGGCACTGGGCACTGCCCGCCCCTCCCGAAGGTGGCTCCCCAACTTCTCTGTCCCGCCCACCCTCAGAGTGGCGGTTGGAGACGGGGGCTTTGCCTTCATCCACTTTTGGGGTTCACGGTTTGTCGGCCTGCGGCCCCAGCCTGACCTCCCTTCTACAAACAAACCCTGGGTGTGCAGCTGCCTCCTGCGCCCTGCCGAGGGACCTCCCGTGGGCACCAGCGTGCAGGTGGCAAAGGGGACTGTCCCCGCTCTCGTCTGCTGGCACCACCACACGAGCAGAAACCTGGAGTCGCCCTCGATGCCACTTGCCCGTCTGTGTCTGATCTGTTGTCAGCGTCTGCCGCCTGCCTGCTCTTTCCTTTCTATTCGAATGACAGCTTTATTGAGACACAATCCGCATGCCACACGATTCGCCCATTCAGTGCGCCATGCAGTGGCTTTCAGTGTACTCCCAGAGCTGCACCCCACTCTCTAGTTCCAGGACATATCATCGCCCAACAAGCAGCCCATCCCCAGCGGGGGTCCCTGTCCTCGCCTGGCCCCTCCCCCGGCGGGTTCGAGCAGCAGGGTTTGGAAGATCCAGCAGGGCGCTTCCACAGCAAAGAACGCCCTTTCATCCGTCCCTATGTTAACAAACAGCCCGTCCCCCTTAGCCCCGACTCATAGGGC